CGTGAAATCCAGTCACCAGCAGGAAAGTAAGTTCTGTATCATATAAGCCTATGGGTTGTTTTTCAATCTGCCTTACTAAACAAATCCCTGACCGAAAAAATAATGAATAACTGGCTCAATTTCTCCTCCCAGCACCGCCACAGTAATACAATCCCTCATTTTCTGTGGTGTCTGAGAAACGCTGTTCCTCTGTAACCCATGCCTTGCAAGCTGTGCACGTCTGAAGTAGCACTGTGGCAAAGAAATGCTTGATCAACTCAATTTCCTCCAAAAGTCTCATTCTTTTTACCTGCCACCCGTTTCCCATCTCCTCTCTCTTCTATTTTGCACTCTCTCCTAGGGAGTATGGAGGTGCAGATTTATGGAGCAACGCGGTCGCTGGTGGCCACAATCCAGCCTGAGAAAGTGATTTGTTCAGAGATTACAGACACAGGAGACAGAGAAAGGAGCGTTAATGATGTTATGGACAGATCACCAGGTGTGTTTGTGCGTGAGAGAGAATGTGGGTGTCATTTTGGAGGTAGTCTCTGCTTAACAAGGGTTTTCAGCCGTATGCAGTTCTCAGCAGTAGCCTACAGAGACGGTCCATCCTTAATGAGACTCTGGCATCCACATTAAATGGTGTCTGGGAAGTATTTTATTCGTAAGCACTCAACTTTTTTTTTTTTTAAAGAAAACTTGTGTTTTAGTTGAAAATAGAGCTTGTTTTGCAAGTTTATGATGACTCATACTTATAGCTAGTGACCCACTCCAAAAAGCTCTTCACTCCCTCTGTAGAAGGAACCTTTGAATAAAATAATTGCCTTGTGCAGTGCAGTGTCGTCAAGCAATTAACATCGACGTGTCGCCGGATGTTTGTTTTATCACTTTTGGAACTAACCAAGGACACTTTGGAGAGGGCACCTTCACTCTCCTCCACCCAGACCTCCAGCCATATGTGGCCTGGTTCGAGCAGCAGTGTGAGATGGTGCCCCTCCTGCTCTACTTAATTACCTGTGTGATGGAGTGGTTCCCCACCCAGCAGAGCCACTGAGTCACACTGTGTCAGGGGCAGTGCGGACAAGCGGAGCTGACCAGCCTCACCTTTTCTCTGTCTCTCCTGTCAGATTAGGTTAATAATAAAAACAGCAACAGCCCGAGAGCATCTTCTTTCTGCTCGAGTGAATGTTTTATCGTCTATTCTTTTTCCCCTCTTACTGTTTTCCAGTCACTTGGTATGCAAAATACTCTATCAGTTTTATCCCCTAATAATAAGGTAAAAGAGGCATCATTGACTGTCCCAGGCTTCATTAGCAAGCCTCCTGGTTGTCTCTTGGACTGCTCAGACAACAGAGCACACAAGCCTGGGTAGAGAATAAAGTAGAAGGCACTGAGAGTCCAAACTGTACCCGCTGAGACTATGCCAGAACACATTAACTGTTGCTGTAGCAACCGTCTCCAAATCAGAAGAGAAAACTCGAACACTTTAAGCAGACTAATTTCTCAAAATGTCCTCATCCACCATGTCTCTTTCTCTGTCTTCTTTCTCCTTTCAAGGCGTTGTGAAATATTCTGGAACACTGAATTCCTGGAATTAAAAGTGGTAACTGTGGAGACTCAGCAGCTGATTTAACTTTAAGTTTATTTATGGGGACAGTTCATCAAAAAATAAAAAATACATATTATTTCATATTACCTGTAGTGCTGTTTATCAGTCTAGATTGTTTTGGTGTGAGCTGCTGAGTGTTGGAGATATCAGCCATAGAGATGTCTGCATTCTCTCCAATATAATGGAACTAGATGGCACTCAGCTTGTGGTGCTCAAAATGCCAAAAAAAATAAATTTTCTACCAAAATACACCCGCCAACCACATCACCATGCAGAGGAAAGCATGCATTTAATCATGGACTAAAGGTTCGTTCTCGTGATAGCACAAGCAAACATTCTTGGCTGAGCGATAGCTAGCTCAGTGGTGATAGGTGAGCTAGCAGTAGATACATGCTTCCTTCTGAAGCTGATTGGCGGGTGTAGTACTGTAGAAAGAAAATAGTCCGTATATGAAACTGCTCACAACAAGGTCTGTGGATTATCTTGAGTGACTGAGTCATGATTTCTGGAAAGAGACATTGCAGCCTGGTCTCACTCCCAACTTGCCAAATACTGATGCTTGGTCAGTAGCCATTGGCAGCAGAAACTGACGGACCCTTAGTAGCAGTATGATACACACAGGGTGGCGGCAGTTTCTGACGCTGCAGGCAACTACCACAGTGTAAAGAGCAACAATGTCCACGTGGGGCAGGTGGTAGAGGAGGTGGACTTCCAACCCAGAGACCGCTGTTCGTTTCCTGTGTGAAACCAAAAGTCAATCGAGTTCTTTTAATAACATGTTGTGCTAGTATGTAGCATATATGTACACCAGTGATCTATGTCACATGACGTTACATGACATCAGTAGCAACTACTTATTTTAAACCAAACCATAATGTTTTTTCCAAACCAAACCACGTGCATTTCTTGCCTAAACCTGAGGAATGAAACCTAAAAATGCAGACTTTTACCTACATTGTAAGTTTATTTTGCATTTAATGAACAGAAACTGTACATTTCCTGTGAAAACATAAGTTAATTAATTTATTCATTTCAGTGATTTTCCGTAACCACTTATCCTGTTAGCGGTCTTGGGGGCGCTGGAGCCTATCCCAGCTGACACAGGGCGAGAGGCAGGGTACACCCTGGATAGGTCACCAGACTATCACAGGGCTGACACATAGAGACAGACAACTATTCACACTCACATTCACACCTACGGACAGTTTAGAGTCACCAATTAACCTGCATGTCTTTGGACTGTGGGAGGAAGCTGGAGTACCTGGAGAAAACCCACGCTGACACGAGGAGAACATGCAAACTCCACACAGAAGGCCTCCCACACCCTGGGATTAGAACCCACCACCCTGGATTCGAATCGGGAATCTTGCTGTGAGGTAACAATGCAAACCACTGCACCACTGTGCCAAAACAGAAGTGTATTTTCAAAAGACACAATGCATGTAAAATTGACATGTTGTCCCTGAATGTCCAAAACTGATGGAGCAGAGGTACCTAGAGTGATAAATTTTGACAAATAGAGCCACTGACTAAACATAGGTATTTGACAAGTTGACTGATGAGAACATGTTGGACATCGCTGTTGAATTTTTAAGATGTATTTTTGGTGCTTTGAGCACCACAAGCTGAGTACCATCTAGTTCTATTATATTTAAGAGAAGGCAGATTCCTCTACGGCTGATATCTCAAACACTCGGCAACTCACACTAAAATAATCTAGACTGATAAATAGTGCTGCAGGTAAAAGGAGAAATACGTATTTTTAATTTGTGGGGCACTGTCCCTTTAAGGGATTTGGATTGCTTTCAACACCATCCAGGAGCAGTGGGAGCTGAACTCAAGCCTGTCCTCTAGAGATGCACAAATTTAGAAATTTTAGGAAACATGCTTCATGCCAACAGACTGATGAAGAGTTCAGTGGAAACAATTAACATTTGTCCAGGCAACCATAACACATACCTGTGCTTCCTCACTCAATAAGTCTTCTCAAGATAAATGTATCCTAAAGAACAGTGTGTTACTCCAAAACATGAAGGGCACAATAAGCAGCACATTTCACATTTACATAGACCTTAAGTCTCAAGTATGAGCACTTTTAATCAGCTATGCTAATATATTCATGAATGATGAGGCAACTGCTGTCTGAACAGAGGCTCCCAGTGTGTCTGAGGTGGTGTGTGGGGGTTTGCTCAGGTGAACAGGGCTGCGCCTGTGGAGACACTTATCACCCACAGCAGAAACAGTCTCATGCATGCCCAGAATTCTCAATGACATCAGGCCGGCCGACGTGCAGTGTGAACAAGAGAAAAGTGCTGCTTTCAGACGAGAATGCCAAGTGGAAACAGGAACCTTCATGTTATGTGTGTGTGTGTGTTTGTGTGTGTGTGTTTGTGTGTGTGTGTGTGTGTGTGTGTGTGTGTGTGTGTTGATTCATACAGAAAACTGATTAGGTTGTTTTTAATTTCATTTCTTTCACTTAGCAACCACCCATGGTTACTTATTCTAAGAAACCCGTGAGTCAGACAGAGCATATCTTCCAGGTCACCAGTTATCACCTCCACCACAAGTCTAACCGAACTGTGACACAGTGAGACACAGACAGAGAAGTGAAAAAAAAACAGTCTGACTTAACATTTAAAAGTGTGGCTACTTGCACGTAAACAGACATTTTGGCGTTGAACAGTCAAATGTATTTTTGGGTGGGTATTTTGGGAGGGACAGAGAGCATGTGTATTTGTCATCCACCCTGATCCCCAATAAAAACAAGACAGGAGAAAAGAACTTCCACTTTGACAAAATTAGAGACATTTACACCATAAAACGATGCAGAAAAATCACAAATTGTGTATAAAAATCCACCTTAAAGCAAACAATTAAGTGTTTAATGCTCAAAATTTTCTGGTGGACAACCCCCAAACCCTCCATTTCATAAGTGTCCCCTCCAATTTGAAAATGAAACCCACACTCTTGTCTCACACCTTTTATAAAACCCTTATATTACATTATCATTCTGTATTCGGCACCTCTAGTGTTGCAACTTGCCAGCAGTATCTAAACCAACATCCTGTCTCTACTTTGAAGCTGGTGGTGAGCATCAGTTTATAAATACCAACCCCTCAGTGGTGGTGCTCTGTAGATACACTGTCCCAGAAGTAAGTTTGAACATAATTAAGTAACATGATTTGGAAGTCTCTCCTTTAAGCCTTAACTGTGTGTGCAAACAGTATCTACAATGTACACTATCTCTTAATGGCCTCATTTTCCTTAAAAGTGTGTGTGTGTGTGTGTGTGTGTGTGTGTGTGTGTGTGTGTGTGTGTGTTTTAAATCACATGTTCAACCCCAAAGCGCCACATCCTGATTTGAAACAGAGCAGCGGTGCGACATCCTGCCCACATACAGAGTGCAGGTGCGGTGGTTTCATTGCTGCTGCTGCTGCTGCTGCTGCTGCTGCTGCTGCTACGCGTCACTGTCCTGCTCACAAAGCGCAGCTCTGATATCCAACTTGACCTGACCCGGTGTAATCCCCCAAAGTCATTTTTGCTTTGCTCGACAAGGACTCGAGGCCGATCACTTCATCTCCGTCCGTCCTCTCGCAGCGCTCATCCGCTCGCGCGACAGCAGCAGCCGCCACAGCCACAGCGCGCTGTCCAAAAAACCGGAGCATTGGGATACGTTAATGTTGCGGTGAGGAAAGCATTGTGGGAGGACTCTGTGCATGACAAGCTGCTCACTGGAAGATAGAGAGGCGAATAAAATCGCGAGGAGAAGCTCACGCACGACTCCAGCTCCACGGAATCCCGACTTGTTTACCCTGTACCGGGCACAGAGGAGCACCGTTGCGCAGTCTTTACGCACAACCAAAGAGGGGACTTGGGGGGGCGTTTGTCTGTCACCACCATGTCAGCCGCAACAGCTTCAATAGCAGATGTGTCCAGGACTGATTTTACTAACCAAGATGACTGGAATAAGTCAGGTAAGGCATGAAATAGCGAACACTACATGGTGTCTAATTCATCCTCGAGTTGAGCGTGTAGGATGTGTGTGGGACGGATTTTTGTTTTAGGCACTTTGCACAAAGTCCAGTTCTATTATTAACACAAAGGGCTATATTTTAGGATTTTATTTGAGAAGGTGATTTACAAGTTGAGTGTCTTTTTCAAACACAATTGACAAATGACAAATAATACAGATTTAATGTGTTGATGCTGCTGTGTTCCCTTTTGTGCAGTATTCCTTCAGGGAAGTTGCTGTGATAGTTTTAGGATTAAGTAAAGGTAAAATGATGCATTTGCAGACTTACATCTTTTATCAATGGGTGTGTGATCATTTCTGAGCAATATAAATCCCAGTAATAAATACACATGATATCATACATAAGGATTGTTGAGGAAAACTAAATTCACTTAACACCTTTCTCTCAGATCTCATAATTCATTTGTATTTATTTTTAAATACAGCAGAAAGAGGAAGTGAAAAGGGGAGTTGTCACTGGTGGCTTTAACATCAGAAACTCCTCTCTCCAATGCACAGCTGAGCATCACACAGCGTCACACACACATACACATACACACACACACACACACGTTACATAAAAGTGATGCTCTCCATTTATCGAAGCAATGAAGTGCGTCCTTGTGTTACATAAACTTGAATATGGTGAGCTTATGCTAATAGCCTTCAGGGGAGTATTTATCCCAGTTGAGTCTGACCCAGTCTGTCATTGTGGAATCTGATCTGATGTGTGATGCTTTTAAACAAGAACATGTGCACACGCTTATCTGTCTTTCGGTCTGTCTGTTTGTCAATGAAACCTTGAACTTTTCATGTGATGTGATGCCCCTTGTGGTGATAAAAGTGCACCACGTTTCTCCCCTCTCACATTCTTGAATATTTTCCTTTATTTAATAGTTACAAAGAGGAACTGTTTCAAAATCTATCCTATGTCACCAGAGTTTCCCTCAGTAAACAGGCTTGTTATGACTGGCCTGGGCCCTGATCACATTATCCTTTCCCAGTCCTGTTGGAAAACACCGAACTGATGTCATTCTGTTTATTTGCATTCCAACAGCTTGTGTCATGATGAAGTGATACACTTATGTTGTAGGTTTCTCAGTGCCAGACTGCTGGCGTACTGAGCCGACACATTGGGAGACCTCCCCTCTTGTAATATGCTGAGCACTGTGCTGTATGATAACCGGTTGTTTAGCATGGCTCCAGATGGCCCGTGTGTTTCCACCAGCCTCGCAGGCCTTTTGTTTAATGATTTATCACATTTCCTGCTTCGATACCGTTAGAATTCGATGCAGAGCGGCACCAGGCTGATACAGGGGGGGGCCAGTGTTTTGTCATGCTGCGTTGTGCAGCCCTACAGGGGTTCAGCACTGATAACTGTGGAATGATTGTCCCATCCCACTTTGAATCTCATCTGCAGTGCTCCATTCTTCTTTGTTGTTCACCCCTGAATTGTTGTTGTGCTACATTTGAATTCAAAGTTGTCTGATCATCGCCGCAAAAAACAGATTTCTTTTGAAGAAACATGAATTAAACATGTATTCAAACTTTGGCTGAACTTTTGATGATTTATGCACATCTTAAAATCTGCAACATAATTCAATCACAGACACTGTTTTTGGACGCACACACTCAGTTTCGTCGCTAACAGACTCTTTGGGTCTTTGTTTTAGCTCAGAACCAGGCTCAGTGCACACCTGTGCCCCTGCCAGCACTGGGCACCCAGAGGATCATCCAGGGCAACGGCACAACTGTTGGGACAGTCATTTCCCTGCAGTGCCCAGCCAAACACAAACTGGTTGGACGTGAGCTGATCTGCGTCATGGACACCAACAGCACCCATTGGGTGGGGGAGACCTACTGTAAACGTAAGTAGACGCCTTAATGTGGCAGTTAATATAGAAATAATGTCAGTCATTATTGGAGTTGCCTGCTTCTAGCCAGGTGCATGTTACTTTATTATTCATAGACTTTATAACCGAAATGTGTGTGTATGTGTGTGTGCGGGTAAAATGTTCCAAATGCTTTTACTGGCAGAATTGCAGCAGCTGCAAAACTTCCCCTGAACTGTCAGTCTGCTCATTATTCTGAAGAGATGGGATCTATATTAAACATTATGTGATAGGCATTGTGGCTGTGGGCACCGTTACATGAAGACACTTAGGTATGATTTGGCTTTGCAATAATTAATTCTCCTAAATTATGTGAGGACACATTGGAGAGAAAATAATTTCTTGCTTGGGGAAAAAAGCTCATTAAAGGAGAATATTAATGCTAATGGAGGCAGGGAGGAATAATTTCAAGCAGGTGCACAGTTAGCTGCTCTTTTGATGAGCGAGTGGAAAAAGTGAGAGCGGGATCTTAATTATGTTTCAGGATCAATCATCATGGGAGAGGAGAAGGTGTCTGATGTGAGAGTGAAAGAAATTAAAAATGGAATGTATGTTTTATTGTCCCTTTCGTGATGAGCTGGCACGTAAAATGATTTTATTTCCGCCGGTCTCCTCAGGTTAACTGATAATTAAAGACTTGTGATGTCGCGGTCTATGTGCCAGTGATTTGTGTGGTACCTGAGTCTGATAAGAAATTGTCATACGTGGATTTTGCAGCATGATGAATGGATTTGTCTAATATGTTGAGTGCATGACATGGGGAAAAAAAGACAATAAATCCACCAACAGTCTTCTCCTCTCTCACTCCAGCTCTGTCTCCTATTGAGGACTATGGTTTCCGTGTGGCGGTGCTGGCGTCCATTGTAAGCTCGGCCATAATCTTCTTCATGTCTGTGGCCTTCATCACCTGCTGTTTGCTTGACTGTATCAAAGAGGACAAAAGGAAAAGGCATGAAAGGTGACTTAGAATTGCCAATACCACAGTGTAAAAGTACTCTATTATAAGTGCTAGTCCTTCATTTAAAATCATTAAAAGGTGCCCTGTGGAGAAACAAAACCCATGTTTACAGCCACTCTTACTCACCAAAATAACAAATGAGTTGAGAGCATTTCATTTCTCATAAAGAAATCGTGGTGTTTCCTGAAATGAAGCAACCCAAATGTCAGAATAAATGCTGGTATTGTACGTTTCTGCGTGCCACGAATATGTTACATTTGTATGTTATTATGTAGCAGATTGAAACTTAAAGTTTTAACACTGCTTGAGTTAACGAGTGGTTAGGTCTAGGCACAAAAAACACTTGGATATGGCAAAGAAAACATCAGGTTCAGGCTTTAAATACAACCACAAACGCCACTGGAAATGCTTTAAAGTCTTGCTAATGTTTGTTGGTCTCGAACAGTGGTGTTCACCATCCGCCATCCCCTCCACCTCCAGATGACAAAGTGGTCTCATATACATGTAATCAGAACTATGTCACTGTAGAAATCTTGATATGATATGTATGAAACGTACAAATGTAACATAACTGTGGTTTATAGAAATGTACAATGCCAACATTTTCTTCTAGCAACTGAGCTGAAGGAAAGACTGCATTTCCCATGAGCACCAGCACCTCATGTTATATAGATCTTGATCTGGCTAGCATGTACGTTTGTTTAGGACGCAGGGTCAAGAAAAACAAAGCTTATTTGTAGCAATGTTTTTCTTGATTGAACAAATGTATTTCACAAATAACATACCCGTCTAGAAAAAAGGTGCCAGTTCAAGATTAGTTTTGAATCCTTTCAAGTTGAGCAATTCTCTCCATCTGTTGAATGAACAACGAACTGAGATTGACTCATGTTTTCCCCCGCGCTCTTTTAGCTTCTTTTGGTTCTTCAGTCAATTCTTTTATTCTTCTCTTTGCTGTTTGCCCCAGTATTGGCCATAACCACAAAATGTGATGTCACAAACAAAATTCTCTGAAGAAAAATCTCCTTCTACTTCCTGCTAACTGGCTAACATACTTCTGACAGCAAAACTTTGCTGAGAAAATGTAAACATAGGCTCTTGCTGAGTGCCGAAAATAATTTCGTCTGATTTAGCAAGGAATTGGATCCGGAGACAGGCACTAAGAATAACTATAAATAAATAGCCAATCTTCTTCTTCTGGTCTTGTTTGGCATTAGGATTAAACTGAAACTGTTTCATAGCCACTTAAAAACTTCTTATAGCCGCTTTAAGTGTATGAAAGCCAGCATTGTTTACATCCATGTTTACTGGCTTGTTGTTTTCTTCTTCCCTGCCTTTGCTGGCACATTGCTGCATATCATGGGGTGTTTCCACCACCTGTGGATCAGTGGAATAGTGTGAAACAATTGCCAGGACCATTTACCGCATCACCTGCTCGCCTGCATGTGCAGCCTCGTGCATGAGACAAACAAATGCAGATGCACCCATAGAAAAACAGCACAAGTATTTGCTGATAATTCTTAAAAGTACAAAGTATTATCAGCAAAATATACTGAAAGTTTACAAAATCTGTAAAGTACCTAATAATTAAAGCTGTCAAATATGTGTAGTGTCATAAAAACTACAAGATTCCCCTCTGAAAAAGAGAATAAGAACAAGTATTTCAAAATTGTATATACTTGAGTAAATGTACTTTGTTACTTTTTATCACTTGGAGTTACCAGTCAGTCCTGATGCATTTACAAGCTCCTGCTGAAATACTGACAAATGGATTTTCTTGAACAGGGAGTCTGAAATGTGGCAGTGGGAGGAGCAGGTCCAACATCAGGAGGACAACAGGTCTCGCTACGGCCATAAAGGCAGGAACAACAACAACAACAACAACAACAACAGCCAGGACAAGGTGCTCTCACTGTGGGACACTGGTAACCCAGCTGTGTGTGACAGCATGCGAGCCTGCAGGTAAGCTGTGGGCTGTTTAAAAGACGGTCAAAGGCGGGCAGGGTGGGGAATCAAAATGTCCCTGAAGACACCAGCAGTAAAGTTAACAAAACAACTTCCTGTCTTTTCCCTCCACAGATGTCATCAGCAGTATGCTTATGGTCCTGCCTGCACATATGGCCCCACTCCCCCACTCTCCACTCTCCCTGGCTACGACTACAGACAGCCTCTCTTACCCCGAAACCCAGATTCTGCACAGCTCCCCGGTACACCTGAAAACCTCGGACCTCCTCAGTCACACTGTCAAACTGCAAGCCCAGGCCTGGTCCAGCTCTCAGCGGCGGGGCTTGGTGTGGCGAGGCAGTACGGAAGACAGCAGAGCAATTTCTGTGGAGCGAAGCCATCGACCGCAGACGAGTCCAACACGAGGAATATAAACGCTGCCAAAGAATTTTCCATTCGGATTATATCAGTGTGAGGACACATTACACAGGAGGTGAATGCCATCAGTCAAGAACTTGTTTACTGACAAAATATGTTGGTGTGTGCGACGAGGACTATGAGAAGTAGTAACTGAACATTCCTGATCTTGTTGAAATTATAATGCAGTTCTGCACAGTATGAAGGATCTGTAGGCATACTGATGAGACAGACTTATGTGCCTTCTGTAAACTGCAATGGCATACTGCCCTCTGTCTGAAAAGGGGAGCTATTGCACTTTCAGCACACCAGCCTTGACAGATGACACTCCCTGTATGTAGAACTCGGGACTTTCATGCCCTCGATTGAGCTTTTCAGAAATATTGTTTTGTAAGAATTAAAGGTACAGTAGGTGACTTATAGGAAAATAACTTTTTGTCATATTTTCTGAAACTGTCATGTCCCGACAGTCGTACATGAGACAGACAATCTGTGGAAACATCAGTCCTTCTAATGGCATTTGCAAGAGTCCACCACCCTGAACCAAAACAACCAATCAGAGCCAGGAGGAGTCTCTGGCACTCCCTGTTCACCCCCCCCCCCCCCCCCCCCCCCCCCCCCCCCCCCCCCCCCCCCCCCCCCCCCCCCCCCCCGCCCCCCCCCCCCCCCCCCCCCCCCCCCCCCCTCTCCTGCACATACTCCTTCAAACTCCTCAGTGCACAGCTTCACTTTTAGATTCGGTTTTTAAATCCTTTGGGCTCCTGCAGCTCTCTCCAGCTTGAAAAAGTCCACAGATGTTTACTGTGAAACATCTGTTTTATCTCCGACTCGATTTAAGTCCGAATCCCACACTTCTTCTTTTTACTTTTTACTGCAGCTGCCCTTAAAGAGTACATACTGTTCCATGCAGTATGCACACAGCTGGGACATACTACTCTTTCATAAGCTAACATTACACCCTGAACACCCTCTTTCTCATAGATCTGTTACCATGGTGATTAAACAGAACGCCGTTCACTGAGCTTGCCAGAGATGGAGGTCAAGCCGGGGTGCTCTGCTGCTGTTACTTTGCGATGTATGTAGTTCTAACTTTTAAGATATAACTGCATACATTGTAGATTCTCACATATTATAATCACAACAGTAAAATTGCGCATTTCTCTGTTGTAATTTTCATAGTTATGTCCTTTTGTTGTTGGTAAATTAATCTCTAGGATTATTTTGTTCACTTAAACAATTAATAGTAATATATAATAATATAATTACTATTCGACTGGTCATCAGTTATGCGCTGTCTTTTGTCATTGTGGCTTCTGACAGCTGTCAATTGCAACATGTGACCGGTTGTAGTATGATGTCCTGGTATTTTTGGCAAAGGGAACATATTTTATTTTACAAATTATTATTTAAAAGTTTTTTGTTTTCGTTTTTTTTGTTTTACAAAAATTTTTTTAAAAGTTATTCTCTATAAAAGTCACCTACTGTAGCTTTAAGCTGTTTATTGGGACATAGTTCACAACACATTGTAGGCAGCTGAGGCAGGTGTCTGAGACTCATATTAGGGCTGGAAAGTCCACATTGTTAGATGATGGAAAGCACCAGCCAGTATGTAAATATCAGTTTTTAAAGAATGTAAATAAATTAAAGACTTCCACTGATAAGGAGTGAGACTGTGTATTGCAATGGAACAAGTGCAGCTGTGTACATTTCTCCAAGGACCAATGCAAATGTTTACAAGCCAACATGATAAGGCAGCAGCAGTGTGTGATGATGTAGCTTACACACAGAGAAACTTTAAACATGGTGAAGAATGTATTTTTGACAAGAGAATGGCAACTAAGTAGCCTACTATTATTATTATTATTATTGATATTATATGAGTATAAATGGATGAAGGGAATAAAATGTGATGAGTGACACCTCTCTGTGGTCCAGTGTTTGCAACACAAAGCTTAGCTCCTGATAATCTGCCTGTCAGCTCAGCGCACCGTCGCTGTCTGCGGACTGATAATCAGCATGTGGCCCTGAGGTCAGTCATGTGGTCCCCGGGGCGGCGCACCGTGCTGATGTAACGGGCACAGCTGAGACCGTCACACCGGGGAGACCAGGAAGTTTCACCGGGAGGCTATCGGTCGGAGAGAACAAGTCCCACGTTTGTTAGTATGACAGGTTTGTGAAACACGGGTAAGATGTTTTGGATCATTTCCTGAAATCCTTGCGCGCTGACTCGGGTAGGAAGGACCGCTGTGCGCCTGTGTGGGTGCGCCACTTGTTGCATACAATCCACAGTTTAAAGTTAACCTGTTGCTATAGCAATGTGTTGTTAGATACATTCATGTTGGCTTCATGTATTGAAGTATCTGTGCGTTGTATAACACCACTTGAAATAGCCTGAGTGTACTATCCAAATGTCCACCTTATAAATACAGCACGAGCAGTTTCATAGACACATCTATTTACATCATGTTATTCAATAGGTCTGTCCATCTCTTTTAGGATATTCATGACGGAGCTACTGTCTGAAGTTTGGTCAAGATTTGTGGCATTAATCAGATACTAGGATGAGGATTTGTTTTATTTAGTAAGATGTTGCCAGATTATGGATAAACTGTGTGATAAAACAGGACAAACTATTAACCTCACCAAGCATTTTCATACCCACTTAAAGGAACAGTGTGGCAAGATGTAGGGGGATAAAGTGCCATCTAGTGGGGAGGATTGCAGATTGCAACCAGTTGAAACTTCTCCAGGTTAGAATTCCCTCAGTGTTAATTGTTCAGGAGTTTTTTTCTGGGAGCCGAAATATCCGCAGAGGTCTCCTCCTCAAACAAAACAAACAGACGAGTGGTCTCATTCATAGACATTGCGTATGCACAATGAGGTTGAAGTTTGAAGTTTGTATGCATTTTTTTTCTTGCTGAACAAACATTTGTTTCATGGATATCTAATAGCTGTGTTTCCACCTTGCTAACCCTGAGCATAGGCTATACCTTAATAAATGAAGGTCCATTGCCATCATGTCTCTTCAGTCTTCGCCTGTCCAAGTGGATCAGTGATCCTGTACAGAGGCCTGATATTGCTTGTCCGGACATCTATAGGTGCCAGGATCAGGATACCAGGGGTCTCGCTGCGTGCGCACAAAATGAGGCCTGAAAGAGGCATGCGCCACTTCCCACGGAGAAGTTGTGATGTATAAAAGCAGACTTGATGGGAGAAACTTTGACCTATGCTTACGAACATTTTGGAGATGCGAAATTGGCAACACAGATGGTGAGGTGGAAGCCTGATCGTAGAAACTGTTGAATATTTTGTGGTACGCACCATTTTTGGCTTTTGTTCGTACTTACATTTTTAGTATTTATCTTACACATTGTTTTATAAATGAGACCCCAGATTATTAAAATCTTTAAAACACTGAATGAAGCAGTTTTGTGTTGATGCTGTTTGGCATGTTGCAGACAGGCCGCTAGCCCAGTATCTGCTAATGTGTGCTCACCTATTTTCGGAGATAACTTAATGTGTGCTCACCTTATTTCTGATCCAGACATTCAGTAGGTTTTTACCAGGGAGCTGAAATATCCATAAAGGGTTGTCTCCTCTCAAAAACAAACAGGCCCGGTGATTTAAACCAGTACAAACACTGAATAGAGTAATTTCACATTAAAAAATCTGCGTTTTTACAACACTCCTGTCACTTAGGGGCCGCTAACTATGGTGACTGATGTGATATATCAAAAGCCCTATTATTTTGTCCGTTCTGGGCTACCGTAGAAATATGGCTGTGCAACATGGCGATGCCTGTAGACGAGGACCCGCTCCATATGTAGATATAAACAGCTCATTCTAAGGTAGTGAAAGCAAAACAATTCTTATTTTTTAAGTGGTTATACAGTAAGGAAAACATATTTATTATATCATATTCCATTTCTGCCGATATATCCCCCTAAATTCTACACACTGGACCTTTAACATATATTGCTGCATCTCTATTAGCTGGTGAAGATTTCAAACACATAACTGCACAGGCAAAGATCAACAAAGGTCACAAGTAAACCCTCACCAAGACCTACCAAGGGACACTTGCTAAGAGACCTGATTCTTTACTAAAGTGCACACCACCTGTTTAAAAGCATCAACAGTGAGTTGGCAGGAAAATCTATATCTTTTAAAAACTCCTACAAAATACAGCCACAAATGACTGTTGAGTTGAATCAGCACCTGTTACAGTCAGAAAAGAACATGAGCTCTACCAAACTGGTATTTACTGCAGTCTGTTATTTATGCACACCCTGAACAGGTTATTCATACAGAAAGTGTTGCCAAATGGACAATTTTACAGCAACTCTATTCACCTTACTAAACTGGACAATAAACCTCTTAGTCATTTATTTTCAGAACAGGACTGATGCCAGCACCAGCTTACTAAGAAACTACTTACTGTAGGACTAGACATCAAATCTCCAGGGCTTCAATTAGAGCTTTGTAGCAAGATCTGATTGCACAGGGGTCATACACTTCTGACCTGACCTTGACACGATGACACTTACAACTTTTAGATCACTTCATGTACATGAATTTAGGAATGGTGTAGAGTGCATTTTATTTGACACTGTCTGTTACTCGTTTCTTCTTTAATGTTGTCATTTCTTGACTAGACAATGACGATTGCCATGAGCAGCTCCGGAGGGACACCCACTTCCTGTGCTCAGATCAGAGGATGGACACTGAGCTGGTTGACAGACTGGTGCTGCAGCTGAACAGGATCTACCCCCAGATACTCAGCGACAAGGAAGCCCACAGGGTCACTACAGATAACACATGACACCGTTTCAACATGAACACATCCTGTTTTGACAGCCATCATGGCCTGCTGAACTGAAATTGGTCTTCAAACAGGTGTGCGGTGATTTAATTCAGCACGTGTCTCTCTGCAGTTCAGGAACCTGAGCGTGCCCACCAAAGTGCGGTTAGCTGAGCTGTTGAAGCACTTGTATGGGAAGGGCGAGGAGGCGTGTCATGAATTCTACAGAGGACTTCACATCCACGCTGAGGACGTGTACTTCAGCCTGCCCACCAGAGTCATACAGAGAGGTAAAGTTAAGATGTGGTCCTGCTGACTCACATTTAAATGTGTATTTGACATTAAATGTAGTGCAGACATGATTTGCAGTGCAGTAATTTAGTGGGGAGATCAGTTATTTGTACATTGGAATCAGAGCAGGTTTTATATAAAGCACATTACCTTTAAAAAGTAGGACCTGGTGACATCAACATCCAAAAAATGCCCTAATCTGTGTTAATCCATGTGTCGTAGTCATGTGCCAGTGTTCTAACACATCATCTTGTGGCTTTCTGAAACTGTCTGTTCATCGTTTTCTACAATTCCTGCACATAATGTTATTAAAGTTAATTATACTGACGCATTATCAGGTGGTTTTAGGCTGAAAAGCGTCTCTCTGCTTACACAAGCTGTGATGTCTGTATTAGTGCATCTTTTCTTTACTTTTTCTGTCATGTTGCCAAAGTAATGTAGAGTTTATCCAGTAAGTTTTAAAGGTCCAGTGTGTAGGATTTAGGGGCATCTATTGGCAGAAATAGGATATAATATTTATAACTAGCGGGTCCTTTTCCACCCATGTTCTACAGCAGCTCACAACAGACAGATTAAACACTCCAGATAGGGACGCTCCTGTTTTTGTGTTTTCGCGTCAGCCACCGTAGTTATCCTACATGCTTGGCACACAGGAGAGAATTAGTTCTGCAACTAGATGCCTCTAAATACTACACACTGGATCTTTAAGTGAGATGCTTTGGCATCTAGCAGCATCCCCAGTAGTGGATCTTCTGCTTTGTAATTGACCTGTCTGGCTTTATGTAGGCTTATCCTGCTCAAGATACAGGGAGAAGCCAATGCACTGCCTGGATCTGTCACTGCACAGGCTGTTATTTAAAGTGTACGGTTTACCCTGTAACCATTTTTACTCTCTGTTCTAGAGCTGGCCGATCTAAAATGGACTAACACTAAGAAAATCATCCCAGAGCGATATGTGCTTAATGACAGAGGTAAGTCTAAAAAAACATCTCACACAACTGCTGAGGACAGTGGAGCATTATATATATGAGTTGTGTCTGATTTACATTTTTAAGTTTAACTGCAAATACAGACTTTTACTGTCTAAGTGTTGGTGCAACATAAAAGACCACACAGGTGGTTCTACACGTTTGATTTGATTTATTTCACTCTATTGTCAGAAAAAAAATGTGTCTTGCGTCCCAGGACCTGAACTGTTTCACATTTATACACATAAATACAAAAATCGGAAAATAACATAAATAGAAAAGTACAAAACAACATTTAACCAAACAAGACCTACCACAAATGCTACAAATCACATCAGACATTACAAAAAGCAGATGCATTGCAACAAATTAATCATTCCTATTACATTCAGTGTTAGACCCAGGTACGCTGAGGTCACTTAGAAGCTATACTCTGATTTAATAGGTCGGTAGACTGAGGAACGAGAGTTTTTCAACCTATTACACTGAGCCTAATCCGTTCAAACAAGCCTAACCCGTTCAAACGAGCTCAACCTGTTCAAACCAGCCTAATTCGTTCAATTGAGCCTAACCTGTTCAAATGAGCTGTAAGAATCAGAACACCTGAATGTGGTTCACAGCTGAGCTGTGCATCGGAAGAGCAATTAAGCCAAGTACAATCCATTTAAACTCTACATTATTGTCACCAAGTTTTCAAAGTACACCATATGTTTTTTGACTGAGTTCCAGTCTGTCTTTATTTTAGAACAATATGGAAATCACCTTGAGATTTTAAACTGAATTGAGATAATCCACAGTAAGCAGTCAGACAGCTTTGGTTTACGGTGACAAATTCATGATATCATGTAGAGACACAGTTGCGAGGAGTAACGCATGTGAAAACACTTCCTCTCTGGTACATTTAAGAACACAGTGTAGCCATGATTTTTTATTTATAGACTTGACTGGTTTTACATTTGATTGATGCCATGAGTTTATACATGCAGCACTGTTAGCAGCCATCTCTTAATGAATGTCTCTGCTCAAAACTGCATTAAACATGGTGATAAATTTGAAATGAGAGGAAGACAAAAATGGGCATTGGGGAGTTTTGTGTTTATATGAGGTGATAGGCTTTAATAATGACATGTATTTGAAATTGCTCCCTGAACCTGGAATAATCTGCAGAGTAAATGACATCTTGATAATCTAGTTCTAAAAAAATCTAAATTAAAGCCATGTTAAACATCCAGGTAACTGAGTATTGAAACACTTTGATTTGAGCTAGTTTTAATCTCTTCCTTGTCTGTTAGATTATTTTTTATTTTGTCTGCTGTGTTTTATTTCTATTTAAAGTGTAACTGATGTGCTGTCATGGCCAGGTCTCTCTAGGAAAAGAGATTTCTATCTCAAGGGACTCTCTGGTTAAATAAAGGTTTAATAGATAAAATATTAATTGTCTTTAACATACATTTCTTTAATATGGTGGTCTTACAGTGTGTGTATGTCAGGGTGCCTCTCACTGATCCACAGATAAACCCTTTAAGCCCAACTAAGCTTTGTTCTTTCAGCAAACACAGTTGCCCTCTGAACCTTTTGACCCCTAGCATCAGAATGAGGGCCCTACAGCTCCGTGCTGCTCCACCATTCATCATCCCATTATATCCGGGGCTCTGGCTTTGTGGGTCAGTTAAGCTCACGTGTAAACCCCCTCATCCAAAACAGCTTCCTCTGTCCCACATTCCTTTGAACAGTCAGGGGCGCATCCACTGGGTCAAAGGTGTGTCAGCAGGGAAATGGGTCATCGGTGATGACTCCCAGTCCCAGTCATACAAAGAAATGATGGCTTGTTCAGACAGTGAACAACAAGACAGTTGTCTTTTTATAGAGCAGCTGTGGAATCTTGACTCTTGCAATATAAGTGTTTGTTTCAGTTTGTTTTTATTTATTTTTATGCCTCTGCACCAGTGTTAGCTGGGGCCTGACGCATTATGTTTTCGGGTTGTCCATCTGTACGTCCGTCTGTCCGTTCATCGGTCCGTCGATCCGTCTGTCCCTTTGTTGTGAACACAATATCTCATGAACACCTTGAGGGAATTTCTTCAAATTTGGCACAAACTTCCGTTTAGAGTCAACAATAAACTGATTTGATTTTGAATTGTCTTAAATTCAGATTCGATGGGTTTTATATATTTTTGGTCACATTACCGCAAAAATATGTCCAGCCTGACAGACCCAATGACTGTTTACAATCATTTGATATAGGTCAAGGTCTCTGTGACCTTGCATTTGTCTCATTGTCATAAACGCAATATCTCAAGAAAGTCATGAGAAAGTTTCTCCAAATTTGGTACAAACATCCACAGGGTGGGGGAGCTCCTCTGTGTAGAGCTTGCATGTTCTCCCCATGTCAGCGTGGGTTTTCTCTGGGTTCTCCAACTTCCTCCCACAGTCCAAAGATATGCACGTTAATTGGTGACTCTAAATTGCCCGTAGGTGTGAATGTGAGTGTGAATGGTTGTCTCTATGTGTCAGCCCTGTGATAGTCTGGCGACCTGTCCAGGGTGTACCCTGCCTCTCACCCAATGTCAGCTGGGACAGGCAGAATAAGAGGTCAAGGAAAATTAAGGAATGATCAGAATTTGGTACTTAAAGGTCAAAGGTCAAGGTCAAGGTCAGTGTGACCTCTTGAGTTATGGGCCATAACTCAAGAATACATATGCTAATTATGACAACATTTCACACAAATGTCTAATATGATAAAATGATGAAAGGGAGATGTTTTATATCCAAAAGTTCAAAGGTCAACTCCACTGTGACATCACAATGTTCGACAAAATGGATGGAAATTGAAAGTGCCCCTTGACTGGTTTGCGGAGGCATAGAACCACGAAGCAGCAATTTTAGTTTTAGCTCATATAATTTATTAAGAAGACAGCGACCCACAAGGCAAATTTAGTGTGCTGATCAAATTCATGTTTCTACAGTAGGTGTTATTGGTCGTTGATCAGAACTTTATCTCTTCTTTCTCTCTGCAGGACCAATGTTTTTCCTGAGCTGTTTCAGTTTTGCAGTGGGTATTGCAGTGCTCTACTATTATGGAGGTGAGTCATACAGACAGATGGAGAAGTGCTTAGACTTATTCATCCTTGGGCATTTAAAATTACTTTTGACTATCAATAATTTTATTCATTATATCATAATTATTTTTCATGATCTTATTATTAAAGCTAGTTCAAAAGCAAAGCCATTCAAACTGTTTGATTTCATATTTAACACTTACTTTCCACTCTGTTGTTGCCACTCTTTCTGCCCACAGAGGGTGAGACACTGAGAAGCACTGATCCGTTCCTTCACTGCTCTGCAGCAAGACTTAGTAAAAGCGCTAAAGATGTTTTCATTTCCTAAGCTGAGGGTTGGAAAGCAAAAGAAACGAGGCCGTGAAGGCGTTGGGATGCCTGTAGTAGCCCTGTGAGAGGAACAAGCTGTGAAATTTGCCACGTCGCTGTGCCAAACTCATACACACGTTGAAAGCTAAAAATTGCACGCATTTGTAAGCACTAATTGACTTTGCTTTTTAATCTGAAGCTTTGATGACATTAACATGAGTCATTCTGTCTTGAATTCCCACGGCTGATGACTGTTTCCAAGAAGAAAAAAAGTTTAATGTTCTTCCATAATACGTGTATGAATGAGTCCTGGGTTTATTGTGTGTACAGAACAATGATAATACCAATCACATTTTCAGCTAAAATGAAGCGTAATATTAACAGCACACCCACACAGCAGTCACTCCAGCTGATTAGACCTTTGCTCAGGTTGAAGCTGTGAGTGGAGCTATGCTGGGAATTACAGGATGTCACTTAACTCTACACTGATCAGCCACAACATTAAAACCACTAACAGATGAAGTGAATATCATTGATCATCTTGTTACTGTGTCATGTTCTGCTGGGAAACCTTTGGTCCTGGCATTCATGTGGATGCCACCTGATTTGTCCCACTCACCCAAACACTGTTACACCCCCCTCATGGTGACAGCACTCCCCAATAGTAGTAGCCCCACGGCAGGACAATGCACCGTGCCAAAATGCAAAACCTTTTCAGGAATGGCCCGAGGAGCGTGACAAAGAGCTCAAGATGTCAACGTTGCCAAACACCATTGCAGACCAAGTACGCCCCCTCATGGCAGCGGCACTCCCTGATGGCAGTGGCCCCTCGACAGGACAATGCAACATGCTACACCACAAAAACTGTTCAGGAATGGCCCGAGGAACTTGATAACAAGCTCAAGACGTCAACCCCAGATCAAAATCCGATCGAGCATCCATGGGACATGCCGGTACCCCACCTCACAACCACCACACCCTGGTGCCAGAAACCACAGGACACCCCGAGAAGTCCTGTTTCCATGCCTCGACAGGTCAGAGACGACTCCGATCTAAGGGGACCTCACAGTGGATTGGGGCTACCTCTTGGGTACCAGCATGTACCACGAATGCTTGATCAGATCGGGATCTGGGGAATTTGGATGCCAGGTTGACGCCTTGAGCTTTTTGTCACGTTCCTCGGGCCATTCGGACAGTTTTTTTTTTTTTGGTGTGGTATGGTGAATTGTTCCACTGCTATCGGGGAGTGCTGTTGCTATGAGGGGGTGTTCTTGGTCTGCAACGGTATTTGGGTGAGTGAAGCAGGTCAAGTGGCATCTGCATGAGTGCCAGGACCAGAGGTTTCCCAGCAGGACACTGTAACAAGATGATCAATGTTATTCACTTTATCCACCAGTGGTTTTAATGTTTTGACTGATTGGTGTATGTGCTACAAGAATGGGTTAGGTTTTCCTGGCACAACTAAACCAACAGAAGGACAGGTGAGATGTCAAGTGCATTTTTATACGCACACTGTCCTGAAAAGAGGTCTAATGAGGCTACATAAATGAAAACTTCACCCACAAAATGACAATTTGTAAATCAAATAGTCATACTGTGTTACCTTGAATGTGTGAAGACAATGTCTCGCATACCTCCATGCATGCGTTTACAGACTCTTACACAACTCATGCAGTACAATCCAAGTGTCGTATGCTCAGCACTTCCCAAACCGTACTGTTTAAAACTGTACTAAAAGTGAAATTTATTAATGTTCTTTTCAAAGCCAGACTCCAATACTAAGGTTTTTCTTTCGTGAAAATGGATGGTGTCTGAGACGTGCTGAGCATATGACTGGATAAATGAGACTTGGATTATACTGCAGAAGTTGTGTGCGAGTTAGTAGACAAATGTTTTGATATAGTTTTGCTGTTACAGTTGGCATGCCAGAAAAATAAAGTTCTCCACGAATTTAATGTAACACAGCATGACTAACTGATTTACAAATGGTCATTTTGTGGGTGAAGTATTCCTTTAAATAAACACTGCTGTGCAGGCACATACTGCACGACAGCTTCACCTACAATCAGTGCCTTTTAATACTTTAATGTGAGACTGTTGAAAATCTCCTGACTAAAGTGCACTATGATAATGTTCAACTTTTGCTCAATTAAAGCACATTTGACATAACCGAGAGTTGTGTCTTCTTTTGATCTAGTATGACAGATAATCGATAGAGACACACAGAAATGTAAAATTCACAGTAGCTGTTGTAGGTTTGTTTCTGGCTCTCTGTGAACATGAAATGGAGAAAATGACTAAACATTTATCTCACCGACTGAACAGCAGCTATAAAGACACTAGAGGCCGCTGCTCCCTCATTCAGTGCACCAAAGTGGGAAACAAGGATGATGGAAAATGTTCTGGCGTGCTATAACAATGACAAACCGGAGCAACAGACAGTCCTCATCAATTAATAATGACAATCAAATTGATAGAATGAAAAGAGGCAGTTTAATTAAACGCAACATTAAACCTTGTTGACTGCTGAAGAAAGACTTCTGTGCAGGGAGGATGCATTTCATACTCGGGTGGAGACCTTTCAAGTATTTCTTCTAATGATGAATGAGAAGGAAAATGGCCACATCAAAGACAGTATCTCCAGCGCAGCTTTGGAGGAGAGTTCAGGTGTCTGATCTCAGGAGACGTGCAGCACTTTGCCGCCTCTGTCTTCTCTGCAAAGAGAGAGCAACAGATGAGAGAGGGGAGTGCCGGGGAGGTGCTAAAGGGGTTTGAAAGTGTCACCAGGGTGATTGTTCAGCTCGAATACTGGTATCCACATTCCCACGAGGAAGCTATTAATAGTCCTGCTGCGCACCACCCCGATGATCACCAGCATCCTCTGATGCCGGACCCCCACAGAGACAGTCATGTTCAACTTGAGGCCTGAGATGGAGCCAGCAGTGTGGGAGCCACAGACATACATTATGTATATACAATATATCAGTCCACAGATCTGCCCTGAGTGGAGCAGTGTGTGTCATCAATCTGGCTCTCGACTCGTCTGGCTGTTTCCACGGTTACCAATGATAGTTGTGGAGGAGGAAAAGGATCAGATTGTGACGTCGGTGTGTCATCTGAAAGGTGCTTTGTCACAGTCACGTTGAAGAAATTATAGATCGCAGCATGAATATTCGTCAGGTATTTAGCAGATGGTTACGTGAAACAGGCTCAAACTGCTTTTATGTTCTTGTGTTAAACCACTGAAGTGTATAAAATGAGCATTTGCCTCGGCTCTAATTGGGGTTTCGGTGACATTGCTGAAACACAGTCTAATTAAGGCTTCCATTTTAACGAGCAGTTCTGCTGGGGTCTGTGCCGTGTTGACTCTGACTCACCAGCTGCTGGTCCAGAGAACCACAGACGCACTCCAGGTTTGCTCAGAGCGCACAGAGAGTCATGGCACAACCAACATTGTTGTAATTGAATGTTACGCATGCGGCTGGGTGGCAGATGTGTTGGTAAGGTTAAAGCTGTGGAGCTGTGGAGGTGGGACAGATCTGTTAGTTAGATAAGGCACACCCTCCTGGACCCATCAAACCTCCTGGTCTGAGCTGTCTGGAAAATAAGCATGACATCTTGCTCTAACGTCACCAAAGCGATTAAAAATTGAAGCCTGTTCTGCTGTCAGCGTGTGTGTAATTGTGCATTCGTGTCTGGCTGATGCTCGGGGTCACTCCCGGGCAACAAAGGAGACAGACAGTGTGAGGTCACATGTGCCTGACTGCAGTTGTCTCCACTTTCCTGTTTGTCCACTAAGGACAAATGTTGTGTTGTTTACATACCAGAACCATTTATCACCACTGCCGTTTCTTTCTCCTGCTGGCTGCTTTCTCTTCATGCAGGACAATGATTTTCTGGTAAATGAACAGTAGTTGGATGTTTGTGCCAGTTTTTGGAAGTTTCTCTGAGAGCCTGGAGAGGTCAGTGTGTTTGTAGGTCAGGTTGGGGGTTGTGAAGGTCAGGTCCAAAAACATGCTGACTACATGGATGTCTATAGAAGACAACTGCACAGTAAAGCAGGAGAGAAAATACCTTTGTTAGACGGGGGGGGGCAGAGAAAGAGTGAGCATAAAGAACATATGTGAGCAGCAAAAATAGAAAGAATACCTGCGTGTGTGTTCTTCATCAGTCGCTGCGGTTCGGCCTGTGGACTCCAAAGGCTGTGATGAAGACGTTGACCACCACTATGATAAAAACCAGGCTTGTGGCCAAGTTCTCTATAAGGTTCAGCTCCCAGTGCTTTTGCTCATCATTCAGGTTCCATCGGACTGCAGACAGAACCAGGGAATACAATTAAACGCGCACTCGATTAATTTCTAATCAAACATCAGCAGTCAGCTTGATTCTGGGACTCGAGCCAAATCATTATGCACCGATTTACTGCCAGCCATAAATCCATATATATTTAATTCTGAGCTCAGGAAATGTGAGTGATCACACAAAAATGCAAAGGAATAAACAAATTTAGTTCTGAAAAGGACATATGAGGATAAAGGAGGCCTTTGGTTCAGTTTTTTGCTGTGCAAATGGTACAATTTCATTTTTTCAATGAATAGCTAACAATACAAACAAACAAAACAGTACGGAAAAAATATTGTAATATTGTAATTTTATTTTTTTAATTTCATTTTAATTTAATTAATTTTAATCTTTAATTTATTTATTTTTTTTTTTTTTAAAACATAAATGTCACCATTTGATGCACTGCACCAGATTATAGCTTTGAACTATAAACTCTGTAGTACTTTGGCAGGTCAAAACAGAAAATATTTATATGAATATATGGACATATTGGTTATGTTCTAGTATTTTTTATATATATTTTATTATGAATTATGAGTTTTCTATTCTGTATTCAGTGTTGGGGAGTAATTAGTTACATGTCAGGAAATGACAATAAATGTAATCAGTTACAGTTACTGAGAAAAAATATACGATTAAGTTACAGATACTAAACATAATGTTGGTGATTACATTACGTGATTATGCTCATTCTGTTGCTTTGCATCTTTTTGCTACACAGGAATAATTTTATTGGTTTAGCCTAATTCCGGACATTTTTCAGCTTTAATGCCCAGTTTGAAACATTTGTCAGAGAAGTAATCAAAAAGTACTCGAATATAATAAGTTACATTACTCTAATGAAGTAATTAAAATAGTTACATTGCTTATTACATTTTCAACAGTGTAACTAGTAATCTGTATTACATTTAAAACGTAACCTTCCCAACACTGTGTTTATTTATGTTCTTGACTGTTACAGTACTTGCCTTCATTTATTCCTCTTAATACACTAAAAAAATCCACTGGTTCAACTTAAGAAAATTAAGTTAACAATTTGCACACATCTTTTTAAGTAGTTCCAACTCTGGCCTTATTGAGTAAATCCTACATTCATGTTTCATAATCCAACAAACCCAATTAGTTTAGTTCAACCAACATGATTTGCTTTGACCCTTAAAAAGCTTAAATATCTTGAACCTACTTAATATTTATCCAAAAGTTGTGGTGATGTTAAGTGATCAAAGTATTTTATTTAATTTATTCTAATTTATTTATTCTGATTCCATCCTACTCAAAATTGTCAAAAACGTTTTTGATTTTGACACTTTAATGTAACAAACATATTTTTTTGCTGTGGAAAAACTTCTTTGTTTTAAGCGTCATCAACAAAACCCCATTAATCATTTTTCAGAATGTATATTTATTGTATGTTTATTTCATGCACTAAACAGCAAGACAAAGTCCTTATAAGGGAAACCACTTGGTAATAAATCTTAATCTGATTGTGATTCTGATATAAGTTTATCACTAGGATAACAAACTGCACATTTTTTCATATTTGAATGGCAAACAAAATAAATATACGGTCATGATCGTATCCATTTCTGTATTTTCTCACATTCATCAAATGTGCAAGCTCAGCTGGAAAAGGGTTACCATTTCAAGACAATTAAATGCTTACATGATACAATACAAGGAGAATGTAATTTTCAACTATCTGTTGATTGTTTTGTGTGATTTATTTAATAAAGTTTAATTTTATTACTTTTCCACCTGTGGAGCCATTGGGACAGTTAGTGTCTTAACTTCCCCCTTAACATCCAAATACTTGTTATCACGTGTTGTGCATCAGTGTATTGTTATGAATTTAGGCATTAAAGACTGACAAAGACAAACAAGCTTGTGGTTCAGAGCACACAGAAATAAACAGGAATAACAATACAGGAAAGACTGAGCTGACAAAGGGAAGCTTGTATTTCCTGTATGACACAGCTTCAGTATATCTGTGCTTTGTTTTCATCTGGACAAAATGATGAAAGAACAACTAATCTGTGTTGTCGTAATGCCTTTAAATCTACTGAAAGGTGTCATCTTCATCATCACAGTGACGGGCCTATGGATGATGGTAAATGAAGGTGTGATCGGGCGCTCTGTGTGTGTGTAGGGGGCTGTGACTCTACAGGCACATGTTACTTGTCCATGTGCGTGTGTGTGTTTGTTCATGGGAGATTACCAAAGGTTAAATGGTGTAAGGACCCCGCCTGGTTCTGTGTGTGTGTGTGTGTGTGTGTGTGTGTGTGTGTGTGTGTGTGTGTGTGTGTGTCTGATCATCCAGGGCTGGGGTGGAGTGGAATTGAGGGGGTCGGTGGTATGTAGGCCACTCACATCACGCACCACTGGCTCCATTAGACAGCGCTGGATCCACAGGAGAGGGAGGGGAGCAGGACGGAGGGGGCAGCGGGGTTCAGAGCAGTCAAAGAAAATGAGGGAAGAGGAATGAAAAGAGCGATGAGTGGGGTGTGTTTGATATGCTGGTGGAGACGAGGGGGGCTGCTGAGGGGCCTGGGGAGGCAGAAGGTTTGGTGGATGGAGGAGGTCAAAGGGGGCAGACGTTCATGAATGTGTGATGACTGACCTTCTTTCTAAAATATGTTGCAAGAAGATGCAATAACAAAATCTTATTTTACCTTTTATTATGATTTATAGTCATAATGATGATTCATTACAGCTGTTATAACTTTATGTGAACACAGAGAAAATTTGAACCCAATAATGTTAACCTAATAATTCATGGGCATTTTTGACTAAAACACTTAAAGGTCCAGTGTGTAGGATTTAAGGGGGGAAATTTTGGCTGAAATGAAATATATCATATTAAGCATGTTTGCTTTAGTGTATAATCATCTGAAAATAAGAATCAGCGTGTTTTCGTTACCTTAGAATGAATAATTTATATCACAGGAAGCAAGTCCTCGTCTATGGAGTCTTCTAGTCCAGAAGGGACAAACCAAAAACTGACTCTACATACAACCATTCACAGTTTTGCGTTTTCGCGTCAGCAAACGTAGTTGGCAGCCCCTTCACAATGTGCCACACAGCATTGGAAAAACACTAGTTTTTAACAGGAAACTATTTTATCCAGGGTTTTTTTTCCCAGTTTAAATCTGGTCTGTTTGTTTTGGTGAGGAAGAGACCTCCGTGAATAATTCAGCTCCTGTTATAAGCCTCCTGAACATCTGGATCTTAAGTTATCAGAGAAAAAGTTGAGCAAACATTAGCAGGTGTAAGGCTAGCAGCTTGTATGCAATGAGCCAAACAGCAGCAGACAAACACTGATTTGTAACGTAAACTGCTTTACTCAGAGATTTTACTAGTTTTAATCACCTGGTCTGTTTGTTTTGGAGAAGAAGAGACCTCTGCAAATAATTCGGCTCCTGTTTTAAACCTCCTAAACATCTGTATATAAGTTATCAGAGAAAAAAGCTGAGCAAAGATTAGCAGGTGCCAGACTAACAGCCTGTATGCAACAAGCCGAACAGCATCAGATTTTTTATTTGTAACATAAACTGTTTTTCTCCAAGATTTTACCAGTTTTAATCACCTGGTTTGTATGTTTTGGAGAAGAAGAGACCTCTGCGGATAATTCAGCCTCTGATAAAAACCTCCTGAACATCTGGATCTTAAGGTATCAAAGGAAAAAGTTCAGCACACATTAGCAGGTGTTGGGCTAGCAGTCTGTATGCTACAAGCCAAACTGCACTAGACAAACACCGATTTGTAACATAAACTGCTTTACTCAGAGGTTTTACCAGTTTTAGACACCTGGTCTGTTTGTTTTGGAGAAGAAGAGACCTCTGTGGATAATTCAGCTCCTGTTTTAAACCTCCTGAACATCTGGATCTTAAGTTATCAAAGAATAATGCTGAGCACACATTAGCAGGTGCCAGGCTAGCAGCCTGTATGCAATGAGCCAAACAGCATTAGACAAACACCGATTTGTAACGTAAACTACTTTACTCAGAGATTTTACCAGTTTTAATTACCTGGTCTGGTTGTTTTGGAGAAGAAGAGATGTCTGCTCATAATTCGGCTCCTGTTTTAAACCTCCTAAATATCTGGATCTTAAGTTAACAAAGAATAAAGCTGAACACACATTAGCAGGTGTAGCCTATTTTAAATCTCCTGAACGTCTGGATGTTAAGTTATCAGAGAAAACTCTAAACAAACATTAGCAGGTGTGGGATTAGCAGCCTGTATGCCACGAGCCGAACAAATGCTGATTTGCAACATAAACTACTTTACTCAGAGATTTTACCAGTTTTAATCACCTGGTCTGTTTGTTTTGAAGAATTATCTGCAGATAATTCAGCTTCAGCGAGTTTACACTTGGCACATGGGAGAAGTTTCAGCTGGTTGCAATCTGCAATCTGCACCACCAGATGCATCTAAATCCTACACACTGCTCCTTTAATTCAGAAATTATTATGTCTAGATTATTAAGATTTTAAATCACTATAAAATATACCAGTAAAGTGGTTATATTTCAGATATAGAGAGGATAATGACAAACAGTCTTTTGTTTACTCCTCCTGCTCAAGCTGAGATGAGTCAGTGTGACCTGGCTAAAGTTCACTGACCCACTGTTCAGTCCATCAGAGGAAAATATACTGCTCCAACCCACAGCGGCAGATCTCATCCTAACTCATCTTCCCATCTTAATGTACACGTTTTCTCAAGCCCGTGGGTGTGCCTATTAAATGCAGACATCATACGGACCTCTGGATGTGTAGATAGATGGCATGTATTTACTAAGACAAGGCTAAGACATGCAAAGACATGAGCACTGACACATATTGACACATCTGCATGTACAAAACGAAATGACTTTGCTCCCTCAACTCCCACACATGCTGACAGCAGCACTAAAACCTTGAACTCTGACCTGGTGTCAGGCCTTGTTGCCGTGGTTACAGCTAGATTCCAGAGGGTTGGTTAATGGATTGTTTGTGAGGAGTCAGTGGACTTGACATTGGTGAATCTTGCCGAGGGACACACAAAGGGCTAGTGAAGGTTAAAGGATGTGAAGCATGCCAGACAAAGACAAAGACACCTCTGGGGCTCGGGCTCTGTTCGCATTCTCACCTATGAAGATGAGCAGGAGCCCGACTGTGACCTGCAGACAGAGGGAGATGCTGATTAAGGTGACGATGGGAGTGTAAAAAGAGAAGTTTGGCCCCTGGTCCAGCACAGCCTTTAGCTGGGAGGCGTTAGCCATCAGTAGAGCCACATCCAGCATGCTCTCAGCTGCACTCTTCTTATTAGCATAGTGGTTCATGTTCAGAGGAGCTGGGCTGCTGGGCCCAGGATCTGGATGGGAGGCCTGGGGACAGAAGAAAAGTAACTGATGTTTACGACTTTGAGATAGCGCCCAAAAGAAGAAGGCTTGGGAGCTGAACAGAAAGATGTGCTCTGTGCTGCGTTTTGTTCTCCCAGCAGAGCAACAAGGCAGCATGCTGATGAGACTAGCAGTAATTTTGTGCTTCCTGTGCATTGATGGTGAGGATCTGGTTATCACTCTGACCTAATTAGCACAACGAGTAGCCATTACAGAAGAGTGACCTTTGAAAACAGAGCCATTAGTACAGCAAAGAGATACTGACACAGTGGTAACAGACCCATTAAAACACGGTGAACATGAACAAGTCGTGCTCAGTGTTAGCGGCCTCCCACTAGCTCTGGTTTCAAATGATGACATTCAGACCGCACGTTTTCTTCTTCTCTGAGAATATCATAGGGTACATGTTGATGTGAGCTCTCTATTCCACTATTTGTTGACTTTTCCGATCAAAGTGGTGTGCCTGACATACTGGTAGAGGGTGTTACTGTGACCCCTTAGGTCATATCCTGCTCATATATCACTGTCTCTAAGTGGAGGATAACAGGGTTAGTTGTGTGACTGCGCTGAGTAAAACCACAAACAGCTTTTTCACAACAGTTTTCTTTGTTAATCCTGCCTCATGAGTATCAACATTTTATTCATACTGTATACTGAGTAGAGCAAAAATGCATTTATTATATTAAATATTCTATACAGCACAGACTTAGAGGGAGACAGAGGGTAATTTAGGCTTTGATCAACAGGTGTTAACAAAAAGCATTAAAGTCAAATAAATCTTGGTTTTACGTTGAATTCTGACCTATTGATTCTTGTGTGGGTGATGATTACATAACAAAAGATCTGCCAGGTTTTGTGTGTGTGTGTGTCTACGCCATCCCAGTGGACTCTGCTCTGCAAAGAGAAAGACTGGGCCAGCAGGTACTGGATAAACAGTCTGCTTGTTGATGAGTATGAAATCGCTCTCTTTTAAAGTGATGAAAATACACCTTCTGCCAGAGCACTGCTGCTCAATGAACATCCACTTGCAGCTTCTGCTCAGCAATACCCGCCTAACACCTGAGCACCGTCACTGAAGAATCGGTCGTGTCAAGGCCAAAGCCTGCACTCTCTCCGCCAACATAAAATAATCAGCAGCACTTGCAGCCTGTTCCTCAACACTGATGCCTTCCCTTTTTTTTCTCTCACAACACACCCCCACCTGCAGCTGCAGAAAGCATAGTTTGCCAGGGATTAACCAAACTGCAGAGCTGGTAGGAACTATCTTCCTCATTCTCCAGGGAAAGAGAAAAGAAGAGATGCACCCTCTAATTTGTTTCAGGGTAGGCTACAGCTCAATTACAATGTATTTAGGAGATTCGCAACAATCAGCTGGAATGGTTAAGTGGATGTATGAGGGGGAAGTACAAACTGTACAGTAGGTGTGGTCGTGGGGGTTGGAGAAGAGCTAGTACTCTGGTTGCAGTAATTATTTTGATGAGTTTTTTTTAAATCCTGCAATAACCACCGGACAAGCCATGTTTAATTCTCTAATAAGCCATTGCTTTTTAGGACATGGATTACACATGTCACTGGCCAAGCATCTGGCAGCGTACTTATCATTTCAGATTTTATAATTTGGCATAACTTCACGTGAACACTTCAGAGACACCCTGACAACTCTGTCCCCTCAGGCAAATCTTTTTCACTCTGAGCCACAACGCCCCGTGGTAAGACTCATAGCAAGGAATTAAGCAGGTCTTCAAAACATGTTTCCCTGCAGTCCACGGGAGAGGCGACGTGGTGCGTAGTGCGTGTAGCACCCTTGTAACTGTGATTCCTGCCAAACGCCGCAAATGGCACACTGTCATGACGTGTCAGGGTCAGCCGCTGTGCTCTCAAACACTGACAGCGGCTTTTCAGAGACAGCCCTTTATCCCCGAGTCAACAGACCACGGTGAGATAATGCTCGTTGTGAGATCACAGGTTGGAAACATGCAGTCAGAATGTCTAGGAACACAGCAGAAGGATTTTCTCAGAAATTGAAATGAATGAATTGCCATGAAATGTCACACTGTGCTGTCAAGAGATGGATATGGGTGTGCACGTGCAAAACCCCACGGCAGGTGTTTTGATCCAGGCTTTAATTTACACCCCATAATGACCCATATTTGCATATTTGCACTGACTTTTGTTTTCCCGTTTGAAATAAACAGAGCACCTGTCAGTCACCCAGCCATTAAATGTCTTTTATACTCCTCACAATCTAAAACGAAGGGTTCTCATTAAGTCAATCCCTCTGTACTGGTCCAAGGTTTCAATGCTCATTTTTGTGATGAATTATTCACACCACATTCCTTGTCTGAAAAAGACCCAGGGGACACACTGCTGAGAGTGAAAGGGAGGAGGATGAGGAGGGGAGGGAAGACAGAGAGAAATAGATAAGTTGTTAGAATCTGTTTTAACTCTCGCTTGTGCGTCACTGTGGAATAGTAGATAGATGTATGCAATAATATCCTACATACTCTGCTGTGTGCAGAATCAGATCAGGTATATTACAGTGTATGAGTATGAGATAAAGTGGTTGAAAGGAAAATCAGATGGGTAAGTTATTCATTTAAAGAATACCTCTTAAAGTGAGTATTGTTTACCAAAGTGCCATACTGAGACGATCAGCAGCTACATGTACATACCTTGAATGACTCAATGAATCAATGGTGTGGTGGTGTGTCTTCCAGAGGCCTGGGATTTTGAGGGTTCTGCGCAGTATCTTAGCTGTCCCTAGGACTGCACTCTTCTGGACAGAGACCTCAGATGTTGTACCTGGAATCTGCGGGAGCCACTCTCCCAGTTTGGGCGTCACAGCCCCGAGTGCTCCGATTGGATTCCCAATCAGGTCGGGGCAACACATATCCAGTCTGGACCCTTCTTAGTGCTGCTAGCCTACCTCAGAATGAGTGAAACCGCAAACGCAAGGGTCATACCGGCTAAGACGTCACCTGGGTCAACAAGGTCGGCATCAGGTGTTGAGGAACCAACCTGATGAGAAATGGGCGATTGGAACAAGACAAAGACGAACTAGAGCAGAGAATATGGAGCTGTTGGAACCCTACTATACAAATAACCCCAGCGAGAGGGGTTCTGAACCCAACATGTAGGCTGGCAAAGAAACAACTCCTAGCCCAGTGTTCCAACATCCACAAACAGCAACTGCTATCACATCTAGAGACTGATGAGGTACAACAAACACGCTACGGCAAGGCCGAGCCAAGACGACTGGTCAAAGTGTGGATGTCATCATCATCCCAACACTCCGAATTCCAGGTACAACATTTGAGGTCTCTGTCCAGAGAAGTGCAGTCCTAGGAACAGCTAAGATACTGCGCAGAACCCACAAACTCCCAGGCCTCTGGTAGAGGACCCGAGCTTGAGGAAGACACACCATGTAGACTGAGTAATACAACAGATCTTATTTAGAGGATTTTAAAAGTAAATTGAAGAACTAGAGACTATTATGTGATGCAGTCACTCCAGACACAATACAGCGATCTGCAACTTAAAGCATATGCTGGCATGAGGCATAAATTTGGGGACCAAAGGCACCCTCCCTATTTCCTACCCCCTTTTTCCACCCCCTTGCTAAGACCACATCCATACTCAAGCTCTGCCTTCTTCTTGGCGACACACCAGTATAGTTTTGTGACTGTATCTTGCATGGTTGTGATGTTATCACATTGACGAAAATCTGTCCACAGACAGACAGACATACAGACAGAGATAAACACCTGCCAAAGTACTCAAAGCACCTTCTGTGGTAGTTCCCACCACAATAGCTGTCACCAGGACGGCATTTTGCCATGATGACACACACAGAATCACAGGGTGAAATTAATACTAGCTGTGGCGATGTTGTCTCGACTGGTAATGAAATCTTATTGCAGGTGGAAACAGACAACTTTTTACCCCCCTCAGTCCCCTAAGGTTTCAAAGTGGTATTGTTGGCGCCACTGTCACAAAGACAGCTGGATCTCTTTTCGTTTTCCTCAAAGCCTAACCCCTACCACGGTATTCACAGTTTAGTTGTTGCATGACCCACCATTTCTGCTACTGGGGATAGAAAATAAAAAATAAAAAAATTATGTTAGATAGAAAATAAAAGTGCTATCCTCTTCCTGTTTGGTTGCACAATGGTTGATGCATTTCCTTCCTTATAGGGAACCAATCTAAACACTGATGATTACATTGTGCTATCAACATTCACTTCATAATGATAAGTTAAAGCAAAAACATGTCTTCTTCCACTTTAACTCTTCTCCAGTCAAGGGAAAAAAGTGAAAATGCGTGCTCACTGTTGGATGACACCTGAACAGTGGAGCATCGAGGAGTAATTGGGCTGAAAAACTAAAAGGCCTTGAGGTCAGTCAGGTCAGGGAGAGATCGGGCAAAGCGAGATTCAAGCTGTTGCCAATTTATGCAGTGTTTTTAAAACAAATAAAAGACTGCTTATGTTTAACCCAGCGCTACCCAATACCCTTTCACCCACGAGAGAATAAAGTCGTCCTTCATAAATAACTATCTTTAATGTCTGACTCACGGCTGCTTGCAGTGCAATTGATTACCTGCTTTGGAAAGGCTGCAATTTTAAATCCCTGACATCGAACCTAAATCTTATTTGAACCACTAAAAATAGATTTTCATTGTGTATTCCAAAGTCAAAAGTTTGGCTCACCTTCAACTACAAAGAACCCATTGAACTCACACACCTAATCCTAAACTTTTCCCCTTTTCCCACATTGTCACACTAACTGATTACCGCTAAGCTAAATACCTGCATGTCACTTCCTGTGAGTGTATGTCACGACTATGGCTTTGTACCACTCTGTATCTGACATGTAGGAAGCTCTTTGCAGCAACAGTGTGAGACACCACTTAGGACATGGTGAGACCTTGCATTTATTATTTAGCTAATTGAACTTGCTGCCGTTCAGGAACATGATGAAGACGCAAATGAACTCATTTCTGTAACTGCAATGGCCTTGGGTGTGTGTGTGTGTGTGTGTGTGTGTGTGTGTATGTGTTTCCCTTCCTTTTGTTTGTTTTTTTCCTCACACATCAGCACTTCTTTGCTCTCCATCCATCATGTCCTATCAGCAGCCTCCCTCTCCCACTCACCTCAAACTCTGGCCCTCCTCCAGATGAGCATCGACCCAACTGTAAATCTAATTTCCATGATTCTCTGCAGGGCTTTTAGTTTTACAGCCTTACACAGTGCAAAGAAAACATGGCTGTTTCAGAGCGTGGTCTACCCCACCATCGGACAGAAACCGTTCTTGTTCTGGAGAAAGTTGCAGTGTGAAACCTTCTGATTTGCCAAAAGGACGTGCTGGAGAATGTGCCAGCACTGTACTGACATCTGACGCAGAATGTGATTGGTCTCGGGTTTCAGTGTAACACAGGCGCAGATATTAAAAGCCTGTGGAAAGTGTGCATATAGGAGCTTCACTCCACAAAACGACCGTGGATTGATTCCATTGTTATTGACTCACACTGGTGGGAGACACATTGTAAATGAGACCAATTGCTCATTTTATTGAGTGTAAAGGTATTACGTTCTGTGTCTGTTGGCTGAGCTCTGACAGTCAGAAGGAAGTATCTCTGGCTGCCAGGGTCTCTCTCTCTCTTCCTCCTCCCTTCTTCCTCAAACACACACACTTACACATCTATCTGAAATTAAATGGCGCTATAAAGACACTGAATATGGGGATGACATAGCAATGCCCTGTAAAACTGCATCTGAACTACAACATATCTAATTACTTGTCAAATGGCAACTCCAATCGCCACATAAACCACCACAATAAACACCCCTTGTTGTGACATGACGAAGGATGATATTATGTAAAAGTAAAACTGTGCCTGTGCATGTGTTTGTGTGCACATTTTGGCTGGTGAAGTGGAAACAAAGAAGGGCATTCATTATTTATAAGGTCACTCAGGTGCCAACAATGCTTCACTCCTCAACTGAACCAGACTGTCATCTGACACTGCATGCCTGAAACAGATGTGAAGATCTCTGTCTCAGCTTATTGACTTGTTTCATGCAATGCATCCCATGCAGCTGCATTTCTGTTCTGCAAAGTGACGGCGATGACATATGAGAAGACACCAAAGTGGCATTAAAATGCAGAAATCACAGGAAGTGGATTCTTACACATGATCACCTTACATGAAAGTGCACCACCAACACCACCACCACAAAATGTGGCTTCGGGAAATGGCCACAAAGATGAATCACCACCTCTTTGACAAAGTCCAAACAAAAATCCAACAATGTAAGCTCCACAAGTTTGGCATTCCTTGCACGACAGTGGTGTTGAATTCCATTACATTTTCCAGGAACTCAATGTGTCCATCTCTGAGCACTTGTTTGACACTTGTTGGCTCTCCTTGCAGCTAGATTTGGATGCAGTAGTTTTCCAGGAAGCAAGAATAAAAAAAAAACATAGTGGGAAGAGAAATATTGCACCCAGGCTTCTCTTATTCCTTGCAGTTTTAAGTTATGCAACACACAACTTATCATGCACACATGTAGCATGGCATAACATAAGATTTATCTGTTTATCCCTTTTTAAAAATTGGTTTCAAATGTCTTACCTCAGTCCCACTTCCCCTGTTGCTGCTGCTCATCATTTTCCCATGCGTGTGACAGTGCTGCACTTCATCTGCAGGCTGCAGCTCTGTGAAAATGAGCTGCAAAGTGTCCTGTTGTGGGGGGGTAAGAGAAGACTGGACCTGCAAGCATACAGCCTACTTAACAGAGTGGCAGATGCACACACAGCTATATGGCCACAGCAGCAGTATTATTATAATATTGTAAGGAAATTGTGCTGTGCAGCAGCAGCAGCAGCAGCTCTGAGTGAGAGGCAGGGAGACACGTGACTGGATGAGTTGATGAAGGGCGTGTAAAAGAAATGTTGCAGACAATATTAGGCGTTTGCAAGGACTAATAATTTGTCATTCAGTTGCATTGATTGTTCATGTTGAGATATGTGTCAGTCTTGCTCAAACACCACAGCAGTGTGAGTGTCCCAGCGTGCTGTGTGATTGGACGGTCTCTCCAGTCGTTACCAGGGGCGTGGATCCAAGCGAGCTCAATGGGAAACACATTTGGGTGCCTCGCCGTTGTATTAACCTAATGGGCAGAGGCGATGACAAGCGAAAACAGTTGTCCGCGTGAATTAATTGGCGGTGGGGAGGCAGGGAAACTAAAATTTCCTGTGTCGTAAAGCGGCCCGGCTGGTGTTTAACTACACGCTCCGCATACAGCAGCAGCAACCGTGGAGAGAGACTCTCGGCATCGTTAGCTGCTGTATCTGCAACCGAGGAGAGGGATGCGAGCGCTTGAAAGGAGATAAATACAACGTATGTTTTTTCCACGTCAATATGAGGTAACTTATGTGTTCACTTAGCAGAGGCTGAGGTGTATTTGAATTTGTTTGCGGTCGCTTTGGTCGCTTTTGTGTGTGTGAATGGGGGTACTATGCAGATAGGGCGTTTTAAAGTCCACCTTCGGCTAACGTTAGCGAGGTTCTTCCAACACTGGACCTGTCGTGTATCGCTAGCGTGAGTTTAGCCGAGGTTGTTTCGTGGGTTTTGTTCGCTTTTTGAGCCAAGGTAAGTCGTGTCCCATGTTGGTTCAGTTTAATAAAGGTGGTTAACGACTAGCTAATGTGTTGCTGTCTGATTATTGACGGCGAATTAGCGAGAGGCGTTAGTTTTGAACTGCTAAACTTTAACGTTAACTTGTGTCGTCACAGGCTTTCTTGCTAGTTTTTCGTTCACCTGGCTGATAATGGCTCCTGCCTGCTAATGTGCTTTTAACACGTTTGTCTGTTTCATCCACCTGCCTTCATTTACGCCAACAAACTTAAACTCCGTAGTGACTGATATGTGTATCTCGGTTTATATATGACTCCAGCTTTGCCCGTCACACCTGCAATTGTTTAATTTTGTTTCACTAACTGGCAACATTTCTTTTCCAGCTCTTGATATCGGATGAAATCTCGTCTGTCATCCATCCCACTGTTGTCAGGGGCCTCTGCTGGCAAACTGCGTCACCGAGTGGGCGCTGCAGGTACTCATCTCTGAATCTGCATGTTGGGAAGTCTAGCCATGGCACGAATGACCTGGAAACCAAAGTGACTGAACTTTTAATTCACCATGGAGCCGGAGGCTAATCCAAACTCCGATCCCCACCAAGGACTGAAATACCCATCTGTACCCAACTCTCAGTGTGAACTGGCCACGAATATATATGAGGCCATGGGTGATGGGAGTGTCAATCTTGTGGACTCAGTAGTGAGAGGTGGGAGTGACCCCAGTGCATATCCTGTCTCCAGCTACCATAGTAGTGTGCACCAGAGATTCATCAGGAGAAGTCTGTGGTTCTCGGACGCAGAGGAGCAGGCATTTGAGGCACCTGAGTGCGATAACCGGAATAAGATCCTGAACATAAACCTGCGGACAATAGTGGACAGGACTCGGGGGACTAGCTGTGGGATACAGGGGGGCTCCAGCACTGAAAGTCAAGGTGGACAAAAAGACAGTGCAACAGAGAGCGCCAGTGCAGACGAGGAGAAGGAGAAAGGAGGAGGAGATGAGATAAATCTTACGTGCAGTGATGGTGGGAAAGCAGCTATCAAGGCAGCCAGTGAGGAGAACGAGGAGGAGGCAGAGATGAAAGCTGTCTCCACATCACCGGGAGGAAGATTCCTCAAATTTGACATAGAGCTGGGGAGAGGGTCCTTCAAGACGGTCTACAAGGGCCTGGATACTGAGACCTGGGTGGAGGTTGCCTGGTGTGAGCTGCAGGTAAAGTACTGACACTGTGCATCTGATTTATTCTGTCTCTCTGTGGCACCCAAGCAGAGACTCAGTGTCGAGACAAAGCACACCACCCTTTTTTTTTTTTAGATGCTTATTTTTGCAGATGGGCGTGGGAAACACTTTCAAACAACACATGTAATTTAGCAATAACTGTCTTCACATTGTTGTTTACTACAAGAAGTACCCAAGTGATTTATATTATTGGAGAAATGCCTGACTCTCACAGGAAGCCCCCTCTCTGTCGGTGAAGGTTCGCACATGATGATAGTGTAATGGTGATGTCTTCAGGGAGCTGTCAATCAGCCTCACAAGGGAGTCTGCTAAGTTGCAAATGGGTTACCACTAAATTTTAAATGGTGTACACGGGAAAAAGTGATTGACAAGCATTAGATGTTGACGTGGAGACACATACTACCACTTAGGTAGAGTGATCAGCTGTTTTGCCCGTGCACATGGAGCGTCTGTCTTGTCTTGCATTACACAGACACAGGAAAATCACCAGCTTAGACTGTGCAAAGGTATTAACTAATTATTTCCGTCCTTTGGAGACTGCAGCAAGGATTACCTCTCTCCCTCTCTCTCCCAGGAGGCTTAAGGGGGACTACAGTAAGCATGACTGGCCCCCTCAAAGACAGAGAACCTCTACTGTGATTTGTTATTCTTTCACCACTCAGATTAAAATAGTTAGGGATTAATTTCCAACAGTTTACGTACCACCATCCTTCATTTTTGCTCAAGTCATTTGCCCCGCTGATAATGTAATGATGCTAAGCGCGATTATTGGAGTGGGCAGCGCAGGAGATGCTTGTATGAGCTCTGTCTCAGCAGTGTGTCTGTATGTTATGAGCCGTGCTACTCCCTGCCTCCCTCCCTCTGTGCAACAGGAGGTAGGCAGACAGGAAGCAGCTGAAGTGCGCCGTAGCATGCTGGGAGCTGTGTGGCGGTCCTTTGGCCTCAATGAATACTAATGCCTAAGGTACTGAAAACATGCTGTGTCAGTAACCTATGTGACTAAAGAGTGCATTGAAAGAGTTAAACCTGTTTTCAAAGACCGGAGCATCACAAGCCAGTGACGCACCCTATCACGAGGAAGGACTTTGAAGGTAACATGCTGTTGGCTAGGAATGAGCAAAGATACAGTAGAGTCAATAGTACTGACGGTTATAATGACTTCATTTGGGTGATGATGTCATGCAGACTGATAGTAGTGTGGAGCAATCTTACATCTCCCTCAACTTGACAACACTGAGCTGAAATTGTACTCAGTGGATGATAGGATGTGGAACAGGAAGCAATTTCCTTTATTTTATTCTCCCCCAGTGACACATTAAAACTCCCCCTAGTGGACAGTCAATAACGGATGTTAATTACAATACAAATGGTCCTTTTTCCCAATCATGTCCTCATCTTGTTGCTCTGTCATAAATATAGCTTTGAGCTCACACTCTTCTATAAACAGTTCGATAACAAAATACTATGCTGACCTGATCATTGTTTTTCATCAGAGCACACTCTGGCTCATTAGCTTACTGAGTGGATCAGAGCCATTAATTGAGGTTTTCTGTGCCTGACTGAGTCATTACGGTCTCATGTGGTATCATCCTCAGTTGATAAAAACTGCCTGTGATCTCATGTCGATTAACCCTGCCTTTATGAAATTGACTGTCCAGTGAGCTGAATCATCTGAGTGGTTTAGGACGAGCAGTTCAATATTAAACTGTTAGAGTGGTGCTGAATAAGGTCAGACAATTAAAGTGTGGCAGATATGTAAATGCAAAACTTAATAAGAAATTGCAATGTTAAGGGGTTTGACAGCTACTTTTATTAAGTAATCTGATGATTAATACATTGGTTATTTTTCCTTCCTTCTTTTACAGCATAGTAAATTGATTTTCAATTAATTTTGGACAGTTGGTTGGACTAAACGAGACCTGTTGGTAAAACTTGTGCTGCCAGTGAGCATCTGTTGCACCAGTTTTGGCGATGTGTCCCACACTGTTAGCACTAGTCGGCCCTTGTTGGCTTTTTTCAGCCAATTCAGCATGTTGAATCAGTGTCGGAGAAAGCGGAGTCCATCAGTAAATTAGATCACTCTGATTTGCAGTAGAGCTCAGCGCACAAGAGGAGAAACGCATGTGAGGAAAACAAACTAACAACTAAAGTCTAGGGGGCGTTAGATCGAAACAATTTAGGTAAGATTATATTTTAGCCATAGACTTCTTAATAGTTCATTTCTGTTGTGTTTGTGTTATTGTTTGCTAGCACACGGTAAATATCCTTTTTTCTTTTAACATGGGGTCCAGTTATTAATATGCTAACTGGTAAACTAGTGTCTTGAATTCGTCCTGTTGATCTTTTCATTTCCTTCTTTTAGTGACGAATATAGACTACCGCTGCCTGCTGGTATGGAGAGTTATATCTACTCCCGCAGGCGCAGAATGTATGTGCTTGTTGGCCGTTGGCTGTAGTCTTGGACGTGTTCAGGTGCAACTTTTTGACCGAGACACAGGTAACATAAGGCAATGCAACAGACAGCCTTCATCGCCACTAGTTCTTTGATATCAGTTTGTAATGGGCATTTTTCACTCATGTCTGGTGGTTAGTGGTCATATTAGTTGACAAATTAAACCATAATAAAAATAAAGCCCTGCTTCACAACATTTTGTTTTGTCTGACCATTAATCCAAAACTGAAAAGGTATTTAGTTTGCTTTTATGAAAGACCAAAAAACAGCAAATATTCACATTTGAGAAACTAGATTCAGGGAATTTGAGCGTATTTGCTTAAAAAATGACCAAGATTGACAGTAGAATTATCACCAACAATTGATATATTGACTCATAGTTTCAGCTTCGATCAAATATTCAATGTATTTAAGCTACTCTAGTACACAAAGCCACAATCAAACTGCCATTTCATGTTTAGTCTTTTGGACAAGGTTTAGAGTTGCTTCATTGTGTGATGGTTTACACTGAACACATCCCTAATCTGAGTAGGTGTACTAAGCTCGGCCAGCGGCTTCTTCATTTTAGTGCGGCGAATGATTTGTTTTATTGACTTTCTTGAAGAGAAATTAAAAGTTTGTAGCTTTACCGGCATGCTTAATGTTGTTGTGTCATGTAAGGAGTGGTTTTAAAGGATGCAATCTGAGCCAAGAACTGTCAGTGCCAAAAATTGCAAGACCATCTCAGTCACACTCAACAGCACACAGGTATGAACTAGTCTTAAGATTGCACCCAAAACATTGAAGATTGCACGCCTGTGTTTTGCATATTTAGTCTTCAGTGTTGCGTGGAGATGAGTCCAGCTTTACCTAGCTTAGTGAACTGCGGTGGAAAACAGGGTGAGGACAGAGGAGCTCTCTGTGGAAGACGAAAAGAGATAGGACTCTGTGATTTTCCACTGTTTTCCCTCCTTCCAGTGGTCACATGGTTTTCTTGCCGAGAAATTTTAATCTGGGTTTGTGTTTATTCTTTCTGTCTCTCTTCCTCCCTCCTCTCTCTCTCTGTCTCTTCCTCAACCCCCGGCCCCCTTTCCTCCCATCCCCGTCACCCCCACATCTCCGTTTCTGTGCCAGGCTGCTGGCATAACACAGATGGCCCTGGCTCAGGCAAGGATGTTAATCTGAGAGAAAGATGCCTGTTGTGAGTTTTTCATTGTCAGGAAGAAACACTTCTTGTGTTCTGTTTGCCTTGTCTCATTTTATCATTGCTCACTGGAATTTATTTTTTAAACTTTGGAAAGTTCCTGTTTCTGCCAATTGTGGCTCTGTGTATAGATTTTTATCTCAGTGTTGAATGCTGTGCACACACACACACAGACCGAGTTTACTTCTGAGTCTGTGCAGACTTCTCTGTGGTAGTTGGCAGTGAGCTTGTTGTTCTGTAGATTAAATCTGGTTCTCAGCTTGTGAATGCAGAACTGGCAATGATACCATTGCAGTGATATGACGCTGCTCGTCTCTAAATGTTTACTGGAGATTTGGGCATTCTTGAACAAACCCAGCAGAGGACACAATGACTCACTAGGTCACTGTCTTGGTTCCAAACACTGGTTTTTGCTGCAACGGTAGATTATATTGATCTGTGTTATAAGGATGGTAATGTTACTGCGCAAAGTTTTTGGCTGTCTCTTTGGATTAACATGGATAGTGCTAACAACATCAACAACTGCTCAGATGGCAAAAAGAAAACAAAGTTAGGGATGCTCAAGTGGGTCATTGGTTGCAGACCATTTGGCATTAAGAGGCCCAGGGAAGCTAAGGGCAGCCAGACCCAGTAGCTGTAGCTAACTGGGCCTTATCAGTGGCCTCATCTTCAGGCATGCCTGAGCTCCTGTGTCACCCAGCCAACTGAAAAGGGATGGAGGACAAGCCCGCTAGAGCCTCTGCAGTGTGACCTGTGGTATAGCTCGGGCAGGCTTGTTGGAAAGAGGCTAGTTAATAGAGTCTAGATATAACACATAGGAGACAGTCACTGGCTAGCACACAAAGTATGATCTGTAGGGCTTTTCTATTGCCGCTTTTGGCCATGGTCAAACCATGTCGTGTTGACATGTGCTTCCTTTATCAGTTAGGACATGCTGAGTTGTGCCGTGCAGTGGCAGAGATTGACCATTGCTGGAGTCAAATCTTGGCATGTTGGCTTAGTCTGACACCATGGCCTTCATTCCATATTGTCTAAAGGAGAAGGGTGTAGGGCTCCACAATGATAATGATCATCACAATTGTTTTGATCAATTTTTAGATCACGATCATTTATCACACGATCGGATGTTGATTTGAAGAACAAAATATTTTTATTGCACTTTTACATTTAAATAAACAAAGCATTGCTTTAGATTCCACGCGCTACATTCCTGCTAAAATACAAATCTTTTAATCAAAATATGACTTAATCCAGCGCATCCTCTAGAAGCAAAATATAAATAAAAGTCTCTATTGGACATGCATCTTTGGCCAAGTGGAATGTTGTTGCATTAGTTAT